GGGAAAGAGAAAAAGAGAGACAGAGAGTGAGAGATGGGACTTCAAAGCACGTATACGAATCACCATGCTATACATGTATGTATATATATACACACAAACATACATATGTGTATAATGTGTGTAAGAAAAGATGGGATATTCATGTCGAAGGAAGAATAAGAGGCTCGGCCATACAAGCAAAGATGGTTATTCATGTAAGAAAAGATGGTCATTTTCTCCACCAAATATTATTACAATTCCTAAAATTATTTATTGAAAATTTATGATTATTCCATATATGTAAGCAAATATGGTTATTCAAGGAAGAACAAGAGGCTCATTTTACAATTCCTAAAATTATTCACGTTGAAGTGAGAATAAGGAACTTATTTTCTCCCTCAAATATTTCCCTAAAATTGTTTATTGAAAATTTATTATCATTCCATGTATTTTCTTAAATTTTAATAATTAATTGATCTATAATTTCTTAATTTGTACAATTGAGTTGACTTTTTCCTATATCTTTCAAAGATCACATGATATTTCTTTTTAATAGATAAACTAGAGAAAGAAGGATAACTTAGAGAAAAAAAATAAAAAAATTTGATTTTTCGGAGAAAAATATAGAACAATAACAAAAATCATTTTTTAAAATAAAAACCACATCGGTTCTTTGATCACCATATTTTTTTTATAACCAGAATGGTTCTCCTGACCTTCGCTCAAACTATATCTACTCTAGACGCGGAACCAACCTTTGTATATGTATCATTTTGGTCCAAAAATTATATCTCTCCCCATCAATAGAATCGAATTTTGAAGATGACATTGTCACCCCTCAACTAATCAACTAATGGATTACCAACTGTTGGGTTTGACCACCATGTTCTCATCATCGTGCAATCAAATCAATATATAATTGTATAGCAAAGTATAACCATAAAAAAATAGATGATAATGGAAATCCATATTTGTAGAATTAATTCACACGTCGATGTTGTGTATAATACGAGCAACATATCTCTGGTATTGCGATATCCAAGTGCAGGCACGTATACAATACAAGAGGACACACGTGACGTGCCCCTAGAATATCTACTGAATTTCTTAATTTTATTTAAAAAAAAACATACTTAATCATTTTCGTGTTTCAAGTAAATAATAAAATCAAATATTTCCAAGAAATAATAAATATAATTACAATAATCAAATGTTTTGGATACCCTATTGATATTCATACCACATGTATACCCAAGTAAATGTTACATCAATGAAAAAAAAATGTTATACATCAATGATTGTATCATTGGGAAAAAAACTATATACATACGTATACTGTACTATACTATATATATATATATATATAATTTTGGCTTTATTCTTTTTTTTTTTTCAACAAGAATATGCTTTGCCTCATCTGCAATACGGGAATGAGGCTTGAGTCTTGTTATGAAATTGATCGTGCAAAAAAAAAAAGAAGAGAGAATATTCTTTTTTGGAAATTATTTTTCCATTTTGTTAGCCAGAATTAATAATTAGCTTCAACACTCAAGATTGTTCGGCAATAGTGCATGTATAATAAAATTAACCTATTAATTATATGTACTATTATTGTTTGATTTATTATACACTGTATAAAGCAATGTACGACATTGTAAACGAAGGGAATTTATTATTGGGCCCAAGCCCATAATAGATTCAGCCCATCATAAAGCCCAAAACGAAACGAAAAGGGAAAAATCAAATATTCCAAGGAAAGGAACAATAAATTTATACAACAAATGGCTTCGGGGTAAAACGTATATACGTGTGTATATACACATATACATACACGTGTACGTGCATAGAGAGAAGATGGTCCCCTCAACAAAGCCATAAAACCTACTGAGCATATGACTCTGTCTTTTTTATGGTAATGGCAAAAGCAGAGTGAAAGGTTGTTGTTGCTGTTAGGGTTTTTATGATATCTGTGGGCTTTTAAGGGTATGTTTTTTTTTATGGGGGACCCACTAACTTCTTTTTTTTTTTTGTGAGAATTTTTTTAAAACATTGTTATAAAAATTTATTTCCATTAAATGCTGCTTCATGTTTCTTCTAATATTATAATAATTATTCTCTAGGGCTCCCCTGATATCAGACCCCATTGGAGACTAGGTAGGGTTTTAATCAGTGAATACAAGTGAGATAGAGGAGATGGAGACGTCATGGATATCCCAAAATACCCAATGTATGTATGCATATATGTATGTATGTACGTACGTATGTGTCTATTACTTGGTATACACACAGAATCAGTCCAATGTATGTATTTATATTGGGATATAGTTGAAAAGTTGAAACAAATACAATGTCCTTTCATGTATGTATTTATATTGGAGATGCAAAACGTTTGTCTCATCTCGAATTCGAGATTAAAGTGGAGAGAAAAGCGCAATTCCAATCAAATGATTTTTTTATAGTCTCGGAGATTAGTTTGGGTCTCGATCTATGATATTCAGTTATCTAATTTTTTTTAAGAATATATAGTTTGCTGATAGATATTTAATTGAATTCGGGAACTTTGATAAGAATACATATATTAGAGGTGAAATAATGCATAAAACTTCATGTTTAAGGTTTTTTTTTAAAAAGACTTTCTTTAATATATATTTTTTCTTTGCGTTGATATTATATGATCATTGATCGTCTTATAACATGATGATCTCACTACAACGAGTTTAATCGAGAATTGGACCACTTTGTCTGCAGAACCCTTTTGCATATCAGAGACAATACATCCACAGAGATAATTAAAGAAACGAGATCGACTCTATATATATATATATATATATGTGTAGACAGAAGCTCCCTCTCTCTCTATATATATACATATATGTATATGTGTGTGTTACATTAGACAAATAGCAAATTTGTCATCAAAGAGTACACCTAACATGGCGTCGATAATGAACCCTTACCTAAAACTTTCACTCTTTCTAGTACATGGTATAAATAAATCACCATGACTCACATTTAATGTGCAATGTCACGGTATATGTCCTATGTATCTTCCTCATCCATGTTTTCATTGTCTTGTTCCTTCCATTCTCGTGAGATACACGTGTGTATATATTGTTTCTGCCAAAATATGAAAACTTTCCTTACCAAAAAAAAAATATGAAAACTTTATATTTGTCTCGGTTTCAATATTTCAGGAATACCACTTTTGATAAAATCGAGGAAAGAAGAGGCTTGCATGGTTATGATGGTTGGTGAAGAAGGATATATATGATATGTTAATTTTAACTAATTAAAATAATATATACTTACCCTTATAAATGATGTATATCATGCATTAATATTTATAAAATTTTACTAAGATATCCTCAACGGCATTGTATAATATTAGTAACTTAAATTAAGCGTACCAAGAGGGAAGTTAGGCGATGTCAATTGATATAAGTACAAATAAATGAATTAGATGGATATCATGAAATATAAATGGCGTCAAATGTTTTAGAGTCTTCATCATGTCATTTCTGGCCTCATATATATTTTTGTGGCCTTATGTATATCTCTCATACATATATAAATACATACATACATACATACATACATACATATATTCATACATGAACTGGTCGACCTCATCATTCATCTAAAAACCCCCTCACACACCCTAACCCTTCTCTTCTCTTCTCTCTCTCTCTATGGACGAGACAAATGGTCGAAGAGAGACTCACGACTTCATGAACGTGAACGTGGAATCCTTCTCCCAGCTTCCATTCATCCGCCCAGCTCCGTCCAAAGAAAAACCCGCAATTCGGCTCTTCGGAAAAGATTTTGGAGCCGGTGATTTCCAAGAAGATTCCGATGATTCTTCCGACAACAACAACAGCGGGAAGAACAACAACGAGAATCACAGCGTCAAAGACAACAACAGCAGAAACAGCAACAGCGGTGGCAGCAGCAGGAGATTCGTGTGTCACTACTGCTTCAGGAACTTCCCGACTTCTCAAGCCCTAGGCGGTCACCAAAACGCTCACAAACGCGAACGCCAAAACGCCAAACGCAGCGGAGCCTACCTCAATCATCATCAGCATCAGCCAGACGCAACGCATTATTACGGCTTCCACCACCCCCACAACTACTACAGCTACCCCCACCATTACCGAAGCCACTTCGGTCCGGCTTTTAGGTCCTACGGAGGTCAAACTTCTTCGTCCTACGCTCTGGCTGGTTCCACTACGATCAATGGGAGTTCACTGGGGCAATGGCGTGTACCGCCGTCTTCAAACGCGGGTCACAGTGTTTACTCCGCCACAACCGCGCTTGGTTCTCCTGACCCAGCGGCGTCCAATCGTACATCGTTGCCGTCGTTGGCTACAGATCACGAGGCGGTTCCTTGGCCGTATTGGTACAGCTTGAAGCGGAACGTGCAAGACCACGTGAGTCTCGATCTGCGTCTCTAACTTGCGCTTAGAGAATTTAATTACGAAAGCTGAGATTTATATAAGGGATTCCACTATGTTCATGGAACTATATATGAGTATTGGAGGAATAACATAAATTCTCAGACACACGTGTGAGAGCTGTGAACAATCATGGAATTCTTCTGTTCATGTCTGAATATATATATTTGTGTGGGGGTTAAAGAGCAATTCATCCTCTCCGACGAGGAAATCATTATTGTACCTCCTCCTGTTTGTTGCAGTAAGGCAATTGGACCGTGCCCTTATATACAACCTTAGCATCTCACAATTCGATGATTAATCATTATATGAACGAGCAGGTTGTCTTAAAATTTCGAACCTTTGGACAAAACTACATAACGAATAAATAGTGGAGATAAGGTTCTTCACTACAACCTAAGGAGATGAACAAACTTTGGCAATAAGAATGTTTCACACGGAAGAACAGGAAAAAAAAAGAACCCGAGAGGAGAAAAAAGACGAACCTGCCCTCTCGATACCCCCGTTTCTTCGCAACTGGCTGCAAGTGCAAGAGGGTATAGGTAGACAACATGCTTTCTTTTTTCTTTTTACCGCATAAGGATACTCGGCGAATGCTGTCAAAAGGGTGTTAACATCAGTGGCAGAGAGACTATAAAGGAAAGGACCCCACCCCCCCACGAGTTAATGCAATGGAGGAAAGAACCATGTGATGATGAACCACAACATTGATAAAAGGGGCATACGCAATATAAGGACCACTTCCTCCCTATGTGCTCCTATTAGATGCGGAAAAAGGACTCATGGAATTTAAGCAACACCTGCCCACACTCCTAGGAAAGTCACACCCCCTCCCAAAAAAAAATATATATGAGGATGATAGTTCAAACTCTTTTTTTATCTGATTCACACACACAAACATGAATTCTTTCCATAACCAGACAAACCAACATATCTCGCAGCAGTAATCGACGTTTGGTGAATAGTAGTAGTAAAAGTAAACTATGGGAAAATCTCACACCAACCTGTTCTCTTCTGTTCCTTGTATTTGTATATCTCCTTGCATCCTATCTTTCCTGTAGATCAGAACCAAGAAACATCACCATGTCATAGGCATAAATGGCATTCATGCTAATGGTGGGTATCCCATCCACCAGCTTGATTGCTCTGCTTCAGGAGAAAATAAACAGTTTTTTTAGGACAACATACCCTAGAAAATTGGAGCTATATACAAGATATTTCCTATAACTGGCGTGGGAAGGAATAATGTTGATATGGACGTAGTTCTCAAGAACATGATTTCCAAGACCAAATGAAAGCACGGCATAGGAAAAGAAAACCCAAAATCTTCACCATCTACAAGCCGGAAAACCGGTAGCAGTGATAATTATACTTCTCAGACAGAACAGGGATCGGGATTCTTGTTTATGTGCCCAAATACAAGGCTTCATTTTTGTTGTTCTTTCTGAGTACGAGTAGTGTGGGCTTCTTCAATATGGCGGGTGAGAAGAGAAATCCAATAATGTGAAGCACTTGAAGAAGCATAATACGAAGTGACTGTAAGTTGGGCAAACTTTGGAAGTGCATAACCTGCAATATGCCAGTTTCACAGAAAGTACGGTTATACAAGGACACACATTCAGGCGTTTGCTGGGAAGTGTACGCACAGATTTTCAGATATACTAGTCCTACACAAGCGTGAATGTCCATACGAACGGGGATTATAACAAACCATTACTTCCGAGTAGCAAACTATACATTCTCTCCAGTTAGAAGAAGGGTAATTCATGCCAACTGCATTTGTGATATTTTCCTAGTAATTTTCGAAAAGGTTTGCTACAGCCTGGGTAACAGATGTAGTTTCTTTAGTGCAGCCTAATATATATGAAGCATAAAATTGAAAACCAACAACAACAACAACATCGCCTCATTCCCAAGTTCATTTGGGGTCGGCAGCATGAATCCTTCTTCTCCACTCATTTCGATCCCGGGTTAACTCTTTCGGAATCCGCAACACTTCCAAATCGTTTCTAACGACATTCTCCCAAGTAAGTCTAGGTTTACCTCTTACTTTCATTCTCATCCCTATACCTATACTCTCCACTTTTCTAACCGGCGCATCTATCGGTCTACGTTGTACATGTCAAAACCATCTTAAATGTCCCTCCCGTACCTTCTCTTCGATACCTATTACTCCTATTTTCTTTTCAATAATCTCATTTCTAATTCTATCCATTCTTGTGTGTCCGCACATCCATCTCAACATCCTCATCTCGACCACACTCATTTTCCTTTCGCCACCCGACATTCGCTACCATACAATAATGCGGGCCTTATGGTGGTACGGTAGAATTTCCCTTTCAACCGTATAGAGACTTTGCGATCGCAAAGGACCCCCATGGCTTGACTCCATTTCATCCATCCCGCTTTTAGTCTATGACTAACAAAGTTCTTGGCTCATTAACTCAACGTCAAATATTAACATGAGAGATGAAAAATTCGACAAAAGAAATGGATATTTCTATCAGAAGTATCATTTATCTATTCCAAAGCCTGTGATACTAGAAACAAAAACACAACCTGAGTTTTCTAGAGTAACAGCTGAACAGATAATACTGAATCATAACTCAACAATTCAGGACAAAGAACGGATACTCTTCTCAACATAGCAGGAAACTATCCATCATAAATGTTCTACGCAAGATACAAACAAGTGAGCCTAAGAACATCATCCTACCTCCAAAGGCAGCCCCTGCAGCTGAATACCCTAGCAGCAATGGCACCTATAAGCAAAAGCAATGGGTTAGAAGCATAGAAATTCGATCGACATACCACCAACAAATATGGAGAAACGGGCAAATTTCAGGTAACCAAATTACAAGCTCAAAACTAGAGAAAAATACATACCCCCACAACAAAGGAGAGCCGTTTTGATCCTTTAAGCCGATTTTGGAGATAGGGGATACCTGAGATAAGACAACGCTAAGACTTCACTGAGGAAAAATAACATAAGAGTCAAAAACTACGAAAGAATCATGTGATACCTGTATTGAAAGCGTGGACTGCACTAAGCATACCCCCAAGACCTGAACCAGCCTACAAGATTGGAAAAACCTAGTTAGGGCAGAGCAGTACATGCAACTTCATACACAATTAGATGAAGTTGATCCGTTTTCAACAAGTCTAGGAAATATCAAGTCTGCAGACAGATGGAGTTCATGATAACAGTTCCAAAGAAACAAAGATTACAATCCCAAAGTTGGAAATATAAATTGGTGTATATGAGAAATTTCGATAACTCAATGCTCCAAATCAGAACCTAGAAATTGCAATTTTCCAAAGCCTAATACTAACACAGGACGGTAGCAGAATTCCAATTTAACACATCCAACAGAAGCCATCTTAGTATCTTACTAAAGCCCCCCCCCCCAAAAAAAAAATGAACATTTACACTAGCAATGCAACAAACCCAAATGATGTCGCAGTAACCTAGCTATAACCCACGAATTATCTTTATCGAATCGCATCTGAATTCAGGTAATTGCCTCGAGAATTTTCCTACTTTTACTGGAAAAAAGTTCCAAGATCGGACGCCGATTGAGTTACCGGTAACTTTTACTGGAAAAATTCAGGTAATCGCAGTAACCAAGCCAAATTTCGCAAAAGATCGAAAGTAAAGAAATTCAAGAACACGGATAAATCCAAACGAAAATAAAAGATAGAAATTCCACACACAGAACATGAACCAGTAATCAATGTCAAACTCACCACAGCAGATGCGTCGTGCAAAACCGATGTTATAGTCCACTCGCCTTTCTCCTGAAAAGTTTCCTCGAATATACAAAACGATTCACAAACAAATAATTCGAAACCAAACGACGTGTTCGAAACAGCAACACGACAAATGATAGGAGAAGATAGGCAGAATCGCAACTCACAGAGTTAGGGTTCACGAGAGAAAGGCAACGAGGACATCGAGCGGAACCAAGACCAGGATTCATGGTCGGATCATGATGCAAATTTCCCCTCCTCAGCTTCTCCTCGTACACTTCTCTCGTCCCCATCTCTCTCTCCCCCTCTCACAATGAACAACTGTCACCGTCGCTCGCTCTGTATAACGGAAATCGGACAAGCCGGGTCGTCGGTACGGAAGCAACCTGAAATTGGGCCTACAAAAGGCCCAATTAAATATATGGGCTTCTCAACTTTTATAATAGTTGGGCCGCTTGGGCTTTGACTGAAGACCGGTTTGAGTTTTTGATGTGGGCGGTGGTTGCGGTAACTAAGGGCATTGCAACATTGAATCAAATCCCATTTACGCGCATGAACAAAACCATACACACTTCAGTTCTATGCATATGATTTGTGTTTTATATACATTTATCAATTTATTTTGCATGAAACTACTTTATATTTCTCTCGTTGGTCTAATTATTTAATGATTATTAAATAGCATTACATTTGTTGGCATGTAACAATTACACACACTCTCTCTGTAACTGTGTTGTCTCTCTCTCTCTCTCTCGCTCTCTAACACATGATCGTATATATGTATGCATATATATTGCAAGGCGACGTTTTACGATGAAGACAAGTGTGTTTGGCTCCGCATGAGATGAGGACAATGCCTCAATTTTGGAGCGACTTCTATAATCTTTTTTTCATTAATGATTTATACACGATATATATATATATATACATATATATATATATATATATATATGTGTGTGCGTGTGTACGTGTGTAACGTCCTGAAATAATTGATACATTCTTGAAATGTTCCGTATTTTGCGATAGATCGTTTATTATTGATGTCATCGCGACCTCTTGAAGCTGGATTTTGTTTCCCCCCCCCCCCCCCTCCTCTCT